CAACCCAACCCAACCCAACCCAACCCAACCCAAAAACAAACAAACAAACAAACAAACAAACAAACAAACAAACAAACAAACAAACAAACAAACAAACAAACAAACAAACAAACAAACAAACAAACAAACAAACAAACAAACAAACAAACAAACAAACAAACAAACAAACAAACAAACAAACAAACAAACAAACAAACAAACAAACAAACAAACAAACAAACAAACAAACAAACAAACAAACAAACAAACAAACAAACAAACAAACAAACAAACAAACAAACAAACAAACAAACAAACAAACAAACAAACAAACAAACAAACAAACAAACAAACAAACAAACAAACAAACAAACAAACAAACAAACAAACAAACAAACAAACCTCCTTTTGGTTTTCCAGATTTCTGGTTGACATGCCAGTTTTTCAACCATCTTAACAGTTTCTTGACATTACTGTTATCGCCTTGCTGGCCAATGATATTTTTAATGGTTTTAGGTTTATATTTGTCCACCCAAAGTAAACTCTCGCTTGTTGCACCTGGTGAATAATAAAGAACGAAAGTTAGTCAGGAAACACTTCGATGAGGTAAGATCGCCAGAGGAAGTAGCCTGGATACAAGGTTAGTAGTTTTAGCTGGCGACTTATTGTGATTTTACTTTCTTAACTATGTTTATCCTAACCCACCCTGTCAACTTTCCCTGTGGGAGGAAACCACAGCACTCGGAGAAAACCCACGACTTTCGGCAGAGCGTTGACTCACTCTTTTCACATGAGTCCATAGCGAGAATCAAACCCACGAACTCACAGGTGAAAGGCGTTTGCTGTGACGACTGCGCCATCTAAACCCCATGTACTTAGTATAAATGTGATCACCACTGAAGAAATGGTTTCTACCTGGAGGAAGCGGTGAGCCAGTGGGTGTCTGTGTAGCGGGTGTTGAGCTAGCAGATGAGAACACAGACGATTGACTATGGCCTGCTTGACTGGGAGACTGATCCATTGAAGTCTGACTTTCACTTCTCTCTGTTAATTGCGAAGATTCAAGATCTTGAGAACTCTGGAAAAAACGAGTGTAGTTAGACATTGGTGCATGGCTGATGTGCTCCAGTAAGTGTTAGTACCAGGGCCGCCGAGAGAATTCGCGAGGCCCCGGGCAAATCTTCTCTGGGGCCCCCCACGACATCGTTATTTTTAAGCTAGACCCAAGACGCACAAAACTTTCGAAATGATTTCCTCGACAAGATATCCATACCTCATCCGTTGTCATTTTCGCCTCAGACTTCGTTGCCGCCGGTTGCGAAGCTCGAATCATTTCGAAAAGAACATCCTCATCAATTTGCTTCGTTCCAACCTGTTTCGCCTAAATATATAACGATGCGTCTCCATTATTCAGGCAGTACAATCTTCTAACATAATGCATAGCGCCTCTGATGTCGTCTGCATGTATAAAGCAATCTATAACATTCTCCAATCAAAGCAATCTAACCTTCTCCATTTTGGACATGCCAGGATCTCGACCAACCACAAGGTAACTGGTTTTCTTGCTGACAGCTTGAGTCACCTTGCCACCATGTCTTTTGATCAAGTCAACAGCATCTTCTCGCTCGATGCTCTCCAACACTCCTGTGACGACAAACACCTTGCCTGCCAAACAAGTTTCACTACCCTAGGAAAACAAACATCCTAAACATTACCCAAAGGCTATACCTTTATTTACACTGGATAGCTATATCAGTTCTAAAGTGTTCTTCCTAAAAGTCCAGTAAGGATCATCTCTTATTGATCCAGTGTTACTACAGGAGAAAACCTAAACTAAACTAACTTTATTTATACTGGATACTGTAGCTCTATCAGTTCTAAAGTGTTCTTCCTAGAGGTCCAGTAAGGATCATCTCTTATTCATCCAGTGTTACTACATGAGGAAAACTAAACTAACTTTATTTATACTGGATAGCTCTATCAGTTCTAAACTGTTCTTCCCAGAGGTCCAGTAAGGATCATCTCTTATGATCCAGTGTTACTACAGGAGGAAACCTAAACTAAACTAACTTTATTTAGACTGGATAGCTCTATCAGTTCTAAATTGTTCTTCCTAGAGGTCCTGTGAGGATCATCTCTTATTGATCCAGTGTTACAAGTAGAAAGAGTAGGGGGTGAAAAAGACTAAACGCCCACCAGGACATGAAATACATCTCCTAAATACAAGTTTGCCATTACCCTAGGGATCTCTTTGGAGCCCAAGGCCTGTGGTCCTTCACGCATCATGAAACTTCGATACCCAGAAGACTTTCGTTCCAGCGAGGACGGGATCACATCCACGTCTCCAACTTTGCTTTCTGCTTTACCTGGAGTCGACTTAACCTGAGCTTTCGGAGTTTCTGGTGTCCCGGATTTACCCCCGGGGGATGCTTTTTTAATGTCTACACTTGGGGTGGAGGAAGATCTTGCTGTGGGTGTTGGCTTCTCTGGAGTAACAGTTTTACTATTGGGTGATGGTTTTTTGCTAGTACTAGTTTTGGTTGTTAGGTCTGAATGACTTGCTTTAGTTTGAGATTTTTCTTTCTCTGGGGTTCCAGATGTTTTACTAGTAGATGCTTTGGTACTGTCGGTAGTTTTGCCCACTGGTTTTGAAGGGCTTATCTTAGCAAGGGCATTGTGCTTTTCTACACTTTTAGATTGAACCGACGTTTGCTTAATCTTTGTATCGGTAGAAAGGTTTTGTGATTTAGAAGGAGTTAATGAATCGCTCTTTTTTTTAGAAGACTTTGAAGGTGTAGTTATCTTTGAAGCGTCCGTTTCTTCCTGTTTTTTCCTCGGTTCTTGAGAAGTCTTGTCCGACTTCGCTGGCGATTTCGGCAAGCTGGTCTTAGCCTAAAATACAATACAAATAAATTAATACACCCTTCAGGAAAGTATATCTCGCATATTCTCATATTGGTTATAGAGCCTCATTTTCGTACAATGTGACATTAATTATTAAAGCTCACGTCTCAGTCAGTCTGTTGGCTTGCTGAGTACTATAAAATTATCTAGCAATAGCGGATTAGCCTGAGGTTTTAAATACTTACTTTTTTGGCAGGTTGCTCAGATGAAGAATCCTTATCCTGTGATTTCTCTTCTTTAATATGCTCAACATTATTATTGCCATTCGTGTTGCCCACGCCTTTTTCAGAAGATTCTTCAGGTCTCTAAAATCAGTAACATGGTCTTGCGTCAAACAGAGCAAAATGAGCATACATTGTGCCTTGGAGGATTAACCAATTGAGTGTCAGCACTCTTCTCTTGATCGTAAAATTGACTGGCATTGGACAGAGTAAAATTACAAATAGGGTACATTCAGACACAATGTCACCTTATTAAAGGGTTAAAGTGCGACTAACACCAAAAATGATTTTTTGTATGTGTCATATTTGGGTGATTCGAAGAAGAAATGTAATATATCTTTACAACAAAAAATTCCATTTTGATCAACTTTTTCACTGTCAAAGTTTCCGGATATGATGTCATTAGGTGAATTGCAAATTAGTTTTCCTTTGGTTTTCTTTGTACCAAAAATTCACCTAATGACATCATATCCGGAAACTTTGACTGTGAAAAAGTTGATCAAGATGAGTTTTTTTTCCTTCATAGATATATTACATTTGTCCTTACAGAATGACCCAAATATTACCTATACCAAAAATCATATTTAGGGTTTAAGCCACACTTTAACAAGACACATAGAATAACAGTATTTTCCCCTTGATGAGTAAAATTCTCTGGTGTTAGATAGAGTAAAATAATAAAGGTTTAACAACTGAAGACAAATGGCCAAAGAGTCTTGATAACCGGCCATCAAGAGCTAGAACTCTCCCCTTCATGTTAGACAGAGTAATGTTACAAAGTATGGAGCAATGCTTTTTATATAGGCCTGGTAAACATTACTGTCTTTATAGTGTCTTACAGCATTACCTCTTTTCTTTTCTGTGACTTCCGTACATTTCTTTCCACTGGCTTGCTTCCAAAATATTCTGAAACATTTTTGATGACTTTCACAGGAGATTTCTCAGCCACTCTGCAAAAGAAATTGAGTTTTATTGGTTGGATTTTAATACTCATTAGTTTATATCCTTAGTATATCTGGAAAAAAAGTTTAAAAAATTTTTAGAAAAAAATATGTTCATGCAGACAAAACACATCTCGATCCCAACTGGGTTTCACTTTCTGCACACAGCGCCTTTACCGCATACAGTACCCTTACGGCAAGCTCGGAAACTAGCGCAAACAAAAGTTTTTATATGTAACTATAGTCACTATATAACCGGCAGTTAACTAAATAGCCGTCTGCCAGCTGAATAGACACTTCATATAATATATAGTACAATAAATTTCTCTACCTTGTGTTTTTCGCAGGCTTTTTCTGCTGCTGTGGATCATTCTTTACAGTTTTCTGAAGCCTTGGAGGAAGAGCATCCTCTTCGTCTGAATAACATAGGAATAATGTTCACACTGTTTTGGCTAAACATTTTTTACACGTAGGTGTTAATGCTTTAAGTGGCAATGCAGTCACTTTACCAGACAAGTTTTACTTGACAAGTGGAGAGTGCTGCTGCTCAATGGATTAAATAACCTAAAGTTTTCCTCGTCAAAGGAATCTGAAAGTTTGGAATTTGGCTTAGAACTGGTGAATCACTTTAAATGGTGGACAGACATGACATGCTCAATCATACGCCCAAAAGACGTCAATATGATAACCGTCCAAGAGCTGCCTACTGTATCTCAAGTGCCAATCCAACTTGCAAGATGGCTATCCACAGGGCATGCACCAACTGAGTTATTTGTGCTGAAACTGCATGTGCATAAACAGACTACACCTTAGCTAGCAGACTATTGTTTTCAACGAAAGTAAAAATGCCTGACAACCATGAGTTTTTGCTCCCATAGTGGTCCTTCCATGTTAGAGTTTCCTTCAAATTTCCTGCAGCTGTTTAACATTCCCTACGAGCGGTGCTCGTATGCTCGCCTATTTTTTCCACCCCAGGCTATCCACATGCAGGGATGGCTGGATGGGAATCTAGCGAAGACCGAAATATTTTTTTGTCCACAGCAGTTTAGGAATAGTGACTAATGTAAAAAGTTCTTTGTAGGTTTGCATGGCGATAAAACATATAATACTTTTGTTTGTGGAAATACCACGTAAATAAATTTACGTGTTGTTTAATAAATTTACATTTTTTTAAAGTTTTGCAGTAATAAATTTACGTGGTGTTCCCACAAACAAAAGCATTATAACTAATGTAAAGTTTACAGTATATGTGGTCAAACTGAAGCTGTTTTATATTACAGTATCATATTGTACCTGAACTAATAACTGAAGCTTTTTGTTTCTTTGACTTTTTCCCAGAATCTTGTGACTTTTTTCTGCATTGCCAAAAAAAACAACAAAAAGTATCATTATTAAACAGTCAGAGATTTTGCTCAACATACAAACAGTCTGTATTTGTTCTATATATGCTATTGCAAAACCCTACCCAGAGTGCAATACGCCAATATTACAGTCTGCTACAACTTCTTTCTTTGCAGTCACGTGCCACTTAGATACGCCAAACTATTGCTATCTGCGTACTTACTTTTTACAAAAACGTTAGAGCTAACATGCAAATGGACTGTATCACATCTTTAAATAAACACTTCCAGAAAGTACTATGTCACTCTGGCTATAGAGCCTCATTTCTGTGATTGAAACATTGGGCTTTACCATAAACAAAACAAGGCTGCATACCTAAAGTGACGTATTTTCCGGAAGGGTGTATTGTTGACATACCTTATCTTTGGTGGCAACGGTTCTTCCTCAGAATCTAAAAAAATTGTTGGCACAGCGGTTAAATAATCTCGGACGGTGTGAAAAATACAAACAGAACAGAGCAGATCAGGCTGATTCTCAGCATAGTAAACACATCCAAACCTGATTCAATTATAGCTTGATTCTTTTTACGTTGTGTTTTTCTTTTGCTCTTCTTAGAAACTTCCTCATCTGACTCTGATGACTAAAATATCATACATATCACACTGTTACGGCCTCCATGCATAACAATGATACCATTCAACAATTTTTTGCTATACAGAAATATCAATAAACAGGGCAGGAAAAAAGAATTTTCTTCCTGGGAGCACAACCTGGAGACAAAAATTTCCTGCAGACCAACAGAGTATTTTTGTGCTAAATCTGCATGTGCATAAACATATAGTGTCCTAGCTGACCATGGTTTTAAATTCAAGGAATAATGTCTGTCAACCATATGTTGTTGCGCCCATAGTCGGACATGGGTGTTAAGGTTTCCTTCCAAGGGCGTATTTTCATTTATTTCAAAGGAGGGGTAGAAAAATTTCTGGTAGGGTGCAAGCGGCACCACTCACTGCGCTTCAGCAGGGGTTCGTGTTTGGGTTAAAGCCTTTCACACAAAATAGGAGGGATGAAGAAAAATCTTGGTGGGGTTGAACACTTTATTAGAAGGGTTAATAGAGAAATTCTAGGAGGGGTTTAACCCCCCCCCCCCCAGTAAATCCGCCCATGTTTCTCTCAAATGTTCAATAGCGAATCTTTGCACTTATATAGTAAATATACCATACATAAACTTATTGTACATGGCGAAAATTTACAAAAAAAAATGATACCATCTAGTCATGATATGGTTGGTGTATTAACAGCGAATGAAATATTTGTAAACAATCTTCAAAGTACCTTCGATATTTTCCTTTTTTCACCGTCTTTCGACCTTCCCTTGCCGCTAGATTTCCCCTCTGTTGCTTTTTCGCTAGACTTTTTTGAACTTCCCGCGGTTCTATCACCGCCACTCTTCGACGTGTCTACGCTGAAAAATCGCCTTATGTCCTAAAAATTACAAAACAAACTTAACACAGGTCGAAAATATTATCCCACCTTTGCATCAATGTACTTACCATAACCGAAAACTGTTCATTTCAACATTTATATACCTTTTAAAACAACAACTTTCAGAAAACGTGCTTATTTACCCGCCATATTGGTTCCACCCGATTCGTACCTGATTTCAGTATATTTTTTAGCCACGACGGTCTGTGGCTAAAAAGTATACCTGATTTCAGTATATTTTTCAGCCTCGGAGATCTGTGGCTAAAAAGTATATCAGATTACACTATACTTTTAGCCACGACAGTCTGTGGCTAAAAAGTATATTAGATTACACTAAACTTTTAGCCACGGCGGTCTGCGATCTGAGAATCGCCAGGACGAGATATGAGGCAGACAACAATCAAGCTTCCCTCTACTTTTAGTCACGGTGCATGGTCTGCGGTAAAAAAGTATAGGAGATTTGACTTTTTAGCTACGGCGGTCTATGGCCGATAAACAGTATATCAGCTTTCACTATACTTTTGGCCACGACGGTCTGTGGCTAAAGCCTAAAAGTATATCAGTTTTCACTATACTCTTAGCCACGGTGGTCTGTGGCTAAAAAGCATAGCAGATTTTACTATTTTACACCTGAATTTTACACATCAATTTTACACAAAAATTTACTCCAGAATTTTACAAACGTTTACATTCGCATGAGCAAACTCATGAGGATTTTCAATTTTTTATATAGAAATTTTTTATCCGCAACTGGATTTTGCATGAGCAATCTCATGTATGACCAAGTGCACAATTCTCATAAGCACGCCATATACAGTATGTACGAAAATCTAGAATTCTCATAAGCCCGCTCCAATATGAATAAAAATAACATGACTTTTGTACGATTATTCTCATGAAGGTCCTGTATTTTGCTATAGATTAAAATTTTCATGAAAATTATGTATCTTGGCGTCTATTATTGGCCCCTTATTTTGGTGTCTCATAAGCACGCCATTTATGTACCAAAATCTAGAATTCTTAGGAGCACGTTCAAATACGTACAAAAATAATGTTACTTTAGCATGATTATTATCATGGGGATTCTAAATTTTGCAATAGAGAAAGATTTTCATGAGAATTCTGTATTTTGGCTGAAATACTTGCGCGCTTATGAGAATCCCTTATTTTGGTGTCTCATAAGCAGCCATTTATGTACCAAAATCTAGAATTCTTAGGAGCACGTTCAAATACGTACAAAAATAATGTTACTTTTGCATGATTATTATCATGGGGATTTTAAATTTTGCAATAGAGAAAATTTTCATGAGAATTCTGTATTTTCGCTGAAATACTTGCCTGCTTATCAGAATCCCTTATTTTGGTGTCTCATAAGCACGCCATTTATGTACCAAAAATTAGAATTCTCATGAGCACGTTCAAATATGTACAAAAATAATGTTATTTTGGCACGACTATTCTTATGACGATTCTGAATTTTGCTAAAGAGAAAGCTTTTCATGAGAGTTCTGGCTTTTGGTACCCATATGGCGTGCTTATGAGAATCCCCTATTTTGTGTCTCATAAGCACGCCATGTATGTACCAAATCTAGAATTCTCCTAAGCACGTTCAAATATGTACAAAAATAATATTACTTTTGCATGACTATTCTCATGAGGATTCTGAATTTTGCAAAAAAGAAAATTTTCATAAGAATTCTGGATTTTGGTACCTATATGGCGTGCTTATGAGAATCCCCTATTTTGGAGTCTCATAAGCACGCCATGTATGTACCAAAATCTGGAATTCTCATGACCACATTCAAATATGTACAAAAATAATGTTACTTTTGCATGACTATTCTCATGACGATTCCGAATTTAGCAAAAGAGAAAATTTTAATGAGAATTCTGGATTTTGGTTCATATATGGCGTGCTTATGAGAATCCCCTATTTTGGTGTCTCATAAGCACGCCATGTATGTACCAAAATCTAGAATTCTCATAAGCACGTTCAAATATGTACAAAAATAATGTTACTTTTGCATGACTATTCTCATGAAGATTCTGAATTTTGCAAAAGGGAAAATTTTAATGAGAATTCTGGATTTTGGTTCATATATGGCGTGCTTATGAGAATCCCGTATTTTGTGTCTCATAAGCACGCCATATGTGTACCAAAATTTAGAATTCTCATAAGCGCGTGCAAATATGTAAAAAATAATACTTGTTTTGCATGACTATTCTCACGAGGATTCTGAATTTTGTAAAAGGAAAAATTTTCATGAGAATTCTGGCTTTTGGTACCTATATGGCGTGCTTATGAGAATCCTCTATTTTGGTGTCTCATAAGCACGCCATGTATGTACCAAAATCTAGAATTCTCATTAGCACGTTCAAATATGTACAAGAATAATCTTACTTTCGCATGACTATTCAATGAGGATTCTGTATTTTGCTAGAGAGAATGATTTTCATGAGAATTCTTGATTTTGCTACCTATATGGCGTGCTTATGAGAATCCCCTATTTTGTGTCTCATAAGCACGCCATATATGTACCAAAATCTAGAATTGTAATGAGCACGTTCAAATTTGTACAAAAATAATATTACTTTTGCATGACTATTCTCATGAAGATTCTGAATTTTGCAAAAGGGAAAATTTTAATGAGAATTCTGGATTTTGGTTCATATATGGCGTGCTTATGAGAATCCCCTATTTTGTGTCTCATAAGCACGCCATCTGTGTATCAAAATTTAGAATTCTCATAAGCGCGTGCAAATATGTAAAAAATAATACTTGTTTTGCATGACTATTCTCACGAGGATTCTGAATTTTGTAAAAGGAAAAATTTTCATGAGAATTCTGGCTTTTGGTACCTATATGGCGTGCTTATGAGAATCCTCTATTTTGGTGTCTCATAAGCACGCCATGTATGTACCAAAATCTAGAATTCTCATTAGCACGTTCAAATATGTACAAGAATAATCTTACTTTCGCATGACTATTCAATGAGGATTCTGTATTTTGCTAGAGAGAATGATTTTCATGAGAATTCTTGATTTTGCTACCTATATGGCGTGCTTATGAGAATCCCCTATTTTATGTCTCATAAGCACGCCATATATGTACCAAAATCTAGAATTGTAATTGCGTAATGGGTCTGTAATGAGCACGTTCAAATATGAACAAATATAAGGTTACTTTTGCATGACTATTCTCATGAGGATTCTGAATTTTGCAAACAGGAAAAATTTTCGTGTGAATTCTGGTTTTTCCTTCATATATGGCGTGCTGATGAGAATCCCTATTTTGGTGTCTCATAAGCACGCCATATGTTTACCAAAATCTAGAACTCTCATGAGCACGTTCAAATTTGTACAGAAATAATGTTACTTTTGCACCACTATTCTCATGAGGATTCTGAATTTTGCAAAAGTGAAAAATATTCGTGAGATTCTGGTTTTCCCTTCATATATGGCGTGCTTATGAGAATCCCTATTTTGGTGTCTCATAAGCACGCCATGTGTGTACCAAAATTTAGAATTCTCATAAGCACGTTCATATATGTACAAAAATAATGTTACTTTCCCATGACTATTCTTATCAGGATTCTGTATTTTGCTAGAGAGAATGATTTTCATGAGAATTCTTGATTTTGCTACCTATATTGCGTGCTTATGAGAATCCCCTATTTTTTGTCTCATAAGCACGCCATATATGTACCAAAATCTAGAATTGTAATGGGTCTGTAATGAGCACGTTCAAATATGAACAAATATAAGGTTACTTTTGCATGACTATTCTCATGAGGATTCTGAATTTTGCAAACAGGAAATATTTTCGTGAGAATTCTGGTTTTTCCTTCATATATGGCGTGCTTATGAGAATCCCTATTTTGGTGTCTCATAAGCACGCCATATGTTTACCAAAAGCTAGAACTCTCATGAGCACGTTCAAATTTGTACAGAAATAATGTTACTTTTGCACCACTATTCTCATGAGGATTCTGAATTTTGCAAAGAGGAAAAATTTTCGTGAGAATTCTGGTTTTTCCTTCATATATGGCGTGCTTATGAGAATCCCTATTTTGGTGTCTCATAAGCACGCCATATGTGTACCAAAAGCTAGAATTCTCATGAGCGCGTTCAAATTTGTACAGAAATAATGTTACTTTTGCATCACTATTCTCATGAGGATTTTATGAGAATTCTGGATTTTGGTTCATATATGGCGTGCTTATGAGAATCCCCAAATTATGCAGTTTGGTCATATGCATGCTCAAGAGCATATTACAAGATGTTGGTACATAAACGGGGCGTGCTTATGAGAATCCCACGCCCGAAAATTATGCAGTTTGGTCATAAGCATGCTCAAGAGTATATTACAATATGCAGTTGGTACATGTATGGGGCGTGCTTATGTGAGAATCCCGATTGATGTCCAATACCGGCGATTCGAGTCAAATGGAAAAATGAAACTTCAGGTTGTTCAAATGGATCGATTCGCAAAATTTAGTTGGAATAAATAGGGTTAGTTTGTTTCCATTCGACTAAGACTTGTCGAATGGTCAAATGGTGACCAAGGATGCATTGGGCTGAAAAAGCAAGGCTAGTCTAATGGATCAAATGGACACGGTTGGTTTCCATTCGACTAAGACTTGTCGAATGGTCAAATGGTAACCAAGGATGCATTGAGCTGAAAAAGCAAGGCTAGTATAATGGATCAAATGGATCGAATGGATCAAATGGACACGGTTGGTTTCCATTCGACTAAGACTTGTCGAATGGTCAAATGGAGACCAAGGATGCATTGAGCTGAAAAAGCAAGCCTAGTCTAATGGATCAAATGGATCGAATGGATAAAATGGACACGGTTGGTTTCCATTCGACTAAGATTTGTCGTATGGTCAAATGGTGACCAATGACTTCATTTGACCATTTGGCAATGCTTTGTATGGAAGAAAATGGTGTCCACACCATGAACCATTTGAATTGTCTTATTTCAAATGGAACAAATGTTGTCCATTTGATCGGTTTGAACCATTTGAAATGTGTTTTGTCCATTTGAGTCGAATGGTCGATATTGATCGGTTTGAACCATTTGAAATGTGTTTTGTCCATTTGAGTCGAATGGTCGATATTGGACATATATGAGAATCCCATAAGCAGTAAGCACGCTGATAGGTAGACAAAAATTATGCAGTATAGGGATTAGGGATTCTGTATAAAATTATTGTGGTGTCACATCATAAGCACGCTGATAGGCGCACGAAAATTATGATGTATGGTCAGAAGCATGCTCAAGAGCATATTACAGGATGTTGGTAAATATACAATGGACGTACTTTTTGGCCACGGGGGTCTGTGGCTAAAAAGTATACCAGATTTCAGTATACTTTTTAGCAACGGGGATCTGTAGCTAAAAAGTATAGCAGATTTCAGTATACTTTTTATCTACGGGTGTCTGTGGCTAAAAAGTATGCCAGATACGACCGTGGCCAAAAAGTGTACAGTAAGTAGTCAGTACCAAACATGTTACTCCAGTACTGACATTGCATGTCATGAGATCACTGTTCCAGTAAGAAGATCACGAGCAGCAAACATAGAACCTGGGTATGAAATAGACTGGCCCCCTAAATGCGATATAAGTGCCATAGAATGCTTCTCCATACCTCTAATTGATGGTAATTAAATATACTTTTAGCTAGTGAAGAAACATGTAAAATTTTACCTCTTAGAAAAGATTGTAAAGGTATGCAAAATTGACCAACCCGCCCAGACAAGACTATTTTTCACGAAACAAACAGATAAATATAATGCAACTAGGCAAATAATAACAGTTTGTTTTTCTTCCCATTATCTGTCAAAATCATTACTTTGCCACAATATAAACAGGAAATACCTCATGCTGCTTTCGGAATTCGTGTTCTCAAATCAAAAGCGTTCTTTGGATGGCAAGTCCTTGTTACGGAACAATGCCTTTCACTTGTGGCAAGGAAATTTAAGTTATGGTCTGCTAGTGTAGATTTTCTAGATACAGTTTATTTATTTATAGCAAAGTTGCAATATGAGAGAAATAGTTCACGTACAAGTCGGTCAATGTGGTAATCAAATTGGGGCAAAGGTAAGAAGCAAATGTAAACTGAATATGAATATAATATATCAAATATAAATATATATGGACTTATGGGGGCGTGTTTAGGCTTCTCTGCACGAAGTTAACTCAGATTAAAATTTGGGTATGAATATGTTGACTAGATTCATAATTTAGGCTTCACGTTACTCACTAGCAGTATAGAGTTAGATTCCGACAGTTTCTTTAAATATAGTTCACCGGACTGATGATCTGATGGCACAAAAGTGTAGGCTTAGCGACTATATTCGTATGCATATGTGAGTGAGAATTATCTCAGAAGGCGGAAAGATTGTTACTTGAGAGCTTCAATAATGAAATTTTCCGAAACAGTTCAACTAAGGTACTTTGGCATAAGACAGAATAAAATACTCTGCACTCCCCGCCCTCTTGTATAGACTCTTGTACTGAGATTTAAATTCTGAAATCTTCGCTTTAATAGTCATATTATGACAATCTGCCTTATATCTGTATATATCAAAGAAATATGATCGGAATTTTATTACTCGTATCGACTACTGCAATCTGGCCAAATCTTGACCAGAAATATAAGACCTCATGACCTTAAAATCATCTTCTTTTATTAAGAAATGCCCAGAATCTTGAACCCAATTGCACGGGTCTGACACACTTATATTTATTTACTCTTAGCTTATAATCTGCTTAACTAGTCAGTAATACCTTAAGATAAGTAGGAAATATCAAGCCTAATAGCAGTGAAATATAGAAAAATAACTTTAAGTTTTTAAAGTGAATAAATTTTTGACTTTTCGATCTTTTAATGATCGCATTACGTCGAATCGGTGAATGCCTAACTAACACCTAATTAAATTCAACGCAAACGCCACGGGTGGTATTAAATTAATGGATATGTACCCGAAAGCAAAATGAACTTAGTACGTCATGCATCGTATTGAAACTAATATTAAATAATATATATGTCGAAATTCTGTAGATTCCAACCTCACTTTCCAATTCTCCGCAGACAATTACCTTCAATTCTTCTTTTTGGAGTTTAGTACTTCTTCGGAAACATAGCAATAGGATTCAGTATTGTGGAGGAGGGTGCAACGTAAAGTAGATCTAGACAATTTGACTTGAGAAAGGCTTAGAACAGCCACATTTGAGTGTATTAAATTGTAGTGTTGTCGGAAATTCAAGAGGCTTTGCCCAGCCACCGGGAAAAATGAGTTCCGCCACTTCAGGATTATAATCCGTTTCAGGATTGTAAGGTATGTAAGTCTGTTCTCGAGTCTGTTTGTGCATTATACTTTTCTCTTAGTTTTGGGAAGATATTTGTGCTGAACACGGAATAGAACCAACAGGAGAATACAATGGTGATTCTGATCTTCAGTTACAAAGGATAAACGTTTATTTCAATGAAGCTCAAGGTAACTCGCGCTGTCAGAAATGATTTACTTGCCTGCATACCCGCCAACACAGCATCTTCGTCTCCAGGGCCAAGCTTTTTGCTGCTAGGACGCAAATGACTAAAGACTCTTTTCCACACGTCGCTCAAAATAACTCGCAGGTCCGCTGCGAAAAGCGATCCCCTAGGAAATGAGCTCGATTCTTTTATTATATGAAAACATCATGTGTTTGTAGTCGCAAACAAATAAAAACTAATTGTGGATTCTGATTGTGCATGCCAGTTACGACTGGGTCAAGACTCCCAAGGCCCCAACCCGCAGAGGCCCCACCTATTGTCGAATTTCCTGCGATACTACAGTCCAAATGCTTGTGTTTTTTGTTTCAGGAGGAAAGTACGTTCCCCGTGGTATCATGGTCGACTTGGAACCAGGCGCTCTAGACACGATACGAGCTGGACCTTATGGAAAAGTTTTCAAACCAGATAATTTTGTTTTTGGTAAGTTTTGTGTTTTAAGAAAGCCCGTGCCGACGAGCAGGTTTTCTTTGCCACGTTTTATTCGCTCGTGTGTGCGGCAAAAAATAAACAATTGTTCCTTGCTAAGGAGCGCTGTTTCAATGCTAGTCATGCCAGCTTTTGGACAAGGAAACCAAAACCGAAAATGTGTTCGTGTGTATGGCCGCCAAGGAAGACAAGAAAAACTTGAAAGTTGAAACGTGTAGAAGAAATATGTAGAACTTCAGCATGACTATGGTTTTGGCGGCGAACAAAAGGCGACATTGACATGAGATAAATGTTTGACAACATTCCGTGCAAAAGAACTTGTCAAGGGAAACTTGTTAAGCCATTAAATCTGAAATCCTAGTTACGGATCTAGTAAGGAGAATTCCACAGTAAGTTTCCAGTAAAACTCTTATCTTTCAGGTCAAAATGGAACAGGGAACAACTGGGCAAAGGGACATTACACTGAAGGTGCTGAATTGATAGACAACGTTATGGACGTAATTCAGAAAGAATCCGAAGGCTGCGATTGTATTCAAGGTTTTCAACTCACTCAGTCCCTGGGTGGGGGCACAGGTTCCGGTATGGGAACTTTGCTGCTGTCAAAAATCCGGGAAGAATTCCCCGACCGCATATTGTCTACATACAGCGTGGTACCGTCGCCGAAAGTCTCCGAAGTTGTTGTCGAGCCATACAATGCGACGCTTTCTGTTCATCAGTTGTTGGAAAATTCTGATATGTCATTTTGTATTGATAACGAGGCATTGTATGACATTGCGTTTCGAACCTTGAAACTGACCACGCCGACCCATGCTGACTTGAATCATATTGTTTCCTTGGCAATGAGTGGCGTCACCACCTGCTTACGTTTCCCAGGGCAGGTATGGTATATGGGTGTAAAGTTCGGGTAAACACTATCTTGCTGCAGAGTTTTTAATATCAGGCTTTTTGAATCAGTTTAAAATGTTATGTTAGCACTCTACAAACACCTGAAATGCAAAGAGAACGTCAAAATTAGTAGTGTCGTTTCTGAAAACAGAAAAATTAATGTATGGGAATTTTGCATTGAACGGGCGTACCGATGGCATAAAAGGGAGATTTAGTTCAATACGTTTGTTCCCATCACTGTCATTACCACCAAGTTGGCTCATCACGCTTAAGCCTGGTTCCCGTATGGTTGTAACTGTCGCGAACGTGTTGCCAACGTGTCTTTGTCTTTTCTTCATGAATTTAAAATGCGTTTTTTAACTCAATCTCAGGGGGCCAACCGACGTTTAATTCAACGTTGAATCAACGTCGGAAATTATCTCCCAGACGTTCGATAGACGTTGAAAAAGGACTGAAAATGTAAATTGGATCGATGTTACACTTTTGACGTTAAAACAACGTTGAGATTAGGTTGCCAGTCTCGTCAACCATAATTCAACGTTGAATCCACGTTGAAACAACGTTGAAATTGCTTCACAAGTTGACGTCGTATAATCAACCATGGATGAACGTTGATTCGACGTCTGTTTAATATGAGCTGCTGTTGAACAAACGTTTGTAAAAAACAACATCAGAGCAACGTTGATATCAGGTTGTCGACGTCACAACCTTTTTTCAACCAAATCTCAACGTTGAAACAACGTCCTGTGCCCGGTGGGTCGTACAATGTCTACATCCAAAAGTATCCTGATTTACAATTTACTTATAATTTTTGCTTCGTGTTGTAGTTAAACGCCGATCTACGAAAGTTAGCTGTAAACATGGTACCGTTTCCGCGTCTTCATTTCTTCATTCCCGGATTTGCCCCTCTGGTGAGCCGTGGATCTCAGCAATACCAAGCTTTGACCGTACCAGAACTTACCCAGCAAATGTTCGACGCGAAGAACATGATGGCAGCTTGTGATCCCCGTCATGGTCGATATCTCACTGTTTCAACCATATACCGTGGTCGAATGTCCATGAGAGAAGTCGATGAACAAATCCAAAACGTGCAGGACAAGAATAGCTCGTATTTCGTGGAATGGATTCCGAACAATGTGAAGACTGCTGTCTGTGATGTCCCCAATAGAGGCTTGAAGATGTCTGGTACGTTTATTGGGAACAATACAGCGATACAGGAATTGTTTAAAAGACTAAGTGAGCAGTTTACGGCTATGTTTCGGAGAAAAGCATTCCTTCATTGGTATACAGGCGAGGGCATGGATGAAATGGAATTTACAGAGGTAACGTATAATTATAATGAAGCTGTAAAAGGTGGATAGCTGTTCATTACACGAGAAAAATTGAAAAATTATGTTTGTTTTTACTAAAGTCTACAGGTATCCTATTTTAGAATATTTTACCTGTTTACTGGTTATTTGTGTCTGACATTTGTGACTGTAAGTCACTAAGCCTCATTATTGATGAACATACCATCATACTAAACACTTTTGTGTGGTTCAGATCAGGGTTTTATCAGTTTATACACCAATATTATATCGGATGCATTGCTCTGTTATACAACTTGCAGTTGTATATAGCAAGTGTGTTACCATGATCAACCTTGTAACAAGGTGATAACAACCTGTTCCAGACTTGTCACAACAAGTGGCTTTGATGGTGTAAATCAGTCTTAATATACTCATGAAATATTTTCATTTTATAAATAGACAACTTGCATGTTAGACTAATTTTTGATTTAGACAAAAAAGGTAAATTCCCGTAAAGAACTTATCAAAATCAGTAAAATTGCAAAATTTGGTTACGAAATGTTGTAAAATACAGAAAATATAGCCTTGCAAAGTTTGCATATTTTCAGTATGTTTGTATTACGTGCGGAAATTGTTACCATTTTTGAGCCGAAAATGGTAACAATTTCCGCACGTAACACAAATATACTGCCGAAAATATGCAAACTTCGCAAGGCTATATGTTCGTATTTTACAACATTTTGCAACCAAATTTTGCAATTTTACTAATTTTATTACGTTCTTTTCAACTGTTGTGTTCGATTCCCTTCTCTTTACTTAGATTAAAATTTAGTCTAACATGCAAGTTGTCCATTCTCCAGGCTGAATCAAACATGCAAGACTTGATATCGGAGTATCAACAATACGCAGAGGCGACAGTGGAAGATCGCGAATACGAGGAAGAAGAAGATATAGAAGACGAAGAAGCCGTTGAATGAAATATTGTTACAATGTTTTCTAAGCTCTAACGTTGTAGAAATATTTAAAATTAGAACACATTTCTTCCTACATTCTACTTGGCAATGCTTTAAGTCCTAGTCAAACGAGAGCGAGAGTTGCCATGAGAGCTGATTAGAGTTGATTGGATATTACAGGTCAAACGAGCAAAAACTCTCATCAACTCTCATCAAAGGTCATCAAAAGTTGAACCAGCTGAAAACTGACGAGTGTTTAGGGCGATCAAATGAGAGCGAGAGTTGCAACTGTCATCAACCCCAGATCTCATACTGGTTTGACCTGGACATTACTGAGGGTCTCCCAAGGGGGGGGGGGAGGGGTACCGTGTTCACTTCACTGAAAGTGTCCATTCCTTTGTTCCCTTATTCTCCACAAAGATTTCGCCATGTTTCCTTGTTTCCCCACAAAGATTTCACCAAGTTCCCTTGTTTCCCCAGCTTACATGTTCCCTTGTTCCCCACAAAGACTCCACCATGTGTCCCTTGTTTCCCCACAAAGATTTCAGCCTGTTGCCTTGTTTCCCCAGCTTACATGTTCCCTTGTTCCCCACAAAGGTTCCGCCATGTTCCCTTGTTTCCCCAGCTTACATGCATGTTCCCTCTTCCCTATAATTTTTCTGACTTTGTCCCCATATTCCCATTGCAAAATATGCCTTGTCTCCTAAAAAAACATGGGAGACCCTCTCAGACCCTAACTATTTCGTGCATGCCAATGTAGTAAGTCTGCATGAAAAATAATAGGACGAGAAGACGGAGAACAACGCGTAAAGCGGCACACGAAAGGATTTCTATTGCCCATATTAACATTGCTCTCGCCTCTCTGCATAGAGATTGGCACAGTTTCTGAACTCTATGCCGGCTATACAGGAGGGACGTTTGAAAACAGCTGAAACTTTAGATATTGTAAGCCTCCGGGTTCCAACAATAAACTCAAGGCTTATATATTCGTCGTAAGCAGTTTTTGATAGGCTCATTAAGGCTCTTTAATTTCCACTTATCGCAAAAACCAACTGGGAAGCTTGCCCCAAGTGCTTGCGTCTAAAAATAAATTGTCGAGCATTGCGATCGGATGAAAGCACTTGCAGCTTTTGTGAGTTGATTCTTGTGATGAATGGAAAAGACGCTTTATATGCGGGGTTTATAGATAGATGAGATATTTCGTTAGTGTAATAAAAGTATACAGCCAGTGAAAAATTCTCTTGTGAAACTGTGATAGAACATTAAAGCCCCGTTTACACTACGCTCAATTTTTGGTACGGCACGGATAAAATTGGTACCCGTACCACTTTTTTGGTTCTTGGACTACCTTTTTAGGTAGTCCAAGAACCAAAAAGTGGTACAGTACCAAAAATTGAGCGTAGTGTAAACGGGGCTTAGATAAATAGGTTATTCAAGAACCAAAAAAGTGGTATACGGGTACCAATTTTATCCGTGCCGTACCAAAAATTGAGCGTAGTGTAAACGGGGCTTAGATAAATAGGTTATTCAAGAACCAAAAAAGTGGTATACGGGTACCAATTTTATCCGTGCCGTACCAAAAATTGAGCGTAGTGTAAACGGGGCTTAATATATAGAAATAGTTCAATTATAAGCTCATGGGCTTGTAAATGAATGACGGATTATATTCAGAAAGCCCTGAACAGTGGCGTAACGCTCATTGGGCCTAGTTAGTTAAAAAACTAAGGCCCCCCGACAGTTAGGGGCCGCCATCGGCCACGGTCTATCGCCCATAAAATTTTCCAGAACATTCTATAATTGTTCAATATAAATATAATATCTCAGTCAAACAATGACAACAGGGGCCCCCTGCACACCAAATATGCCTAAGGTCCCTCTCTTCCTCCGTTACGTCACCGGCCCTGAACGGTAGTGGCTGAATAATATTCAAAGGAAATTAAAGAATGCGCTTCGATAGTTCTGCATAATAATGGACAATGGCCTTGGAGTCGAAATTGCGTAGACGATGCCAGATGTACTTGAGAGGGGCGGAGAATTCCATAACGGCCACTTCATTTCCTCAAGGAGCGGCAGATGTTTTGTGACAAAGAAAATCATCTTTGATTTGGAAGAAACACCTTGCATTATTGAAGACGAGATTCTATTGGTTGGGTTAATGAATAATGAGAATAATTTCTGACATGTCTTGGAATACTGTAATAAAACCGCTGGAAATTTTGTAGGATCAAAGAGTAGACAAGATATTGACTCAAACAATAGACCTTTCCCCTTTTAAGTGAGATTTTGATTAAGACAAGTCTGGACAAAAATTTCATCACAGCTTGAAAGAGCATCACACTGATTATCAATTTCCCATTTGTAATCTAAATAACTGAAAAACGGCAAACTTCGCAAGGCTATATTATCCGCATTTTACAACATTTCGCAACGAAACTTTGGAATATTACTAATTTTGTGATGCTTTTTCAAGCTATGATGAAATTTTTGTCAAGGCTTGTCTTGATCAAAATCTCACTTAAAAGGGGAAAGGTCTATTCATTATTCAATATTCAGCACATGGCACATTTCTGTTGCCATAGTCATTAGCATACCGCATAGCCATAGAGATATTTGTTGTATAGACCAAGATTGATATAATTGATAGATGGGTATAGGAATATCAGGATTGTAGCTACTATTAGAGAAGGCCGCTCCGGATTTTTCGATTCTTATAACTGGCAGATAACTTTGATCCTGGTTTAAATTTCTGAAATCTTTAGAAGCGCCATTTGAGTTGGTATAAATAAACTTTCGAAAACTGAAAAATCGTGACGTGTTGCCGAAGGCGAATAGTGCTCCGTCAGACAGGCATCTAGCCAACCCTGGCTGGTTCCAGAAGGTATATGAATCGAGTCAATTGAGTCAATATCAGTACAATACAAGGGTTAATATTCTAATTGCTGAAGGATTCTGAAGTGCAAAACATTTTCATCATTGGAACGGCAGGCTAAAATCTTACTTCAAAAAATTGTAGATGGATAGATACCTGAAAAATACAGTTAAAATGATGATTTTTTCTGTGTTGATGTAATGTACTCAGGTGAATATGATGCTTGTGATGTTACTCTACCCATTACTCTATCCATCTACTGATCTACAGTTTTGTCGAGTTAAAATCTTACTTCGTATTTTGGCAAATGGCAATATGCTATTGATAGCAGTTGTTTTAACTGAAGAAGTTCCTTAATAAATAAATACATTTTCTGAATAATCTATGAATCTTTACACAAGCTGACAAGCGCGTTGCCCTTGAATAATATAAACAGTCACTCCCTTGGCGCCTTCAACAGACAACAAATTAGATTGTTGCCATGAGATTTTGGGGGGAATATGATGATGGCATTAAACAAATTAATTTTTCATTCAAATATACACGCCAAATTGAATTGGAGGATGAATGTAAAATTGAGCAAAATATTTTTCAAACACTATGTGAAAATTTTTTACATGCAATTGCCAACGGTGTAAAAAATAAAATAAACCAAACGGCCTCTTTAAACCACTTTGGCATAATGGAATTTCCGCTCATATTGCATGATTTGGGGGTAATGCTGCTCACGTGGGGTCTATAATATGCTACACATAATCAGATTGGTTGAAAATATCATTAATTATTCACATGTCATTAATTATTAACCCTGTCATTGTCGGCTGAAATTTTTGCTCAGACATCCGTTTGCACTCATTCGTTGTTTGCGACGTCACTTTGATTTTGCGAGATCTTTTGATCGCTTCATTTCACATCTTTTGTTTTCCAATATGAGAGAAATCGTCCATCTTCAAGCCGGGCAGTGCGGCAACCAAATTGGAGCGAAGGTTAGTTAGTTTGCGTGAACCAATCTAGCAAATTATCTCCAATTAGCATTTAGCACACATTTTAGTGCCAGACTTGAATAATTTGGCTGCATGCGGAGGAGATCTTCTCCGCGCAATTTCCGGCTCAATAGGCAATTCCAGCTATATACTAAATTTTGATCTAGGCAAGAGGAACAAAATCCATCACCACAGCTTGTACAGCTAGAAAGAGCATGTTAAAATTAGTAAACTGATTGCAAAGTTTGGTTGCGCAATGTTGTAAAACGAGGACAATATAGCTATATAGCCCTGTGAAGTTCGCAAATTTTGTATAGATTTGTATTACGAGCGGTAAAAATAACCACTTTCGGATCAAGAATACAAATCTATACCAAATTTGCGAACTTCACAGGGCTATATTTTCCTCATTTTACAACATTTCGCAACCAAACTTTGCAATTTTTCTAATTTTAACATGCACTGGTCTTTCTAGCTGTGGTGATGGATTTTGTTGTTCTTGCCTAGATCAAAATTTAGTCTATACCTGGAATTGCCTATTGAAAATTTGGGTGTCGTCCGCATTGTTAGATAATATGTATATTTTTGAACTTACTACGCATGCATTTTAAATCCTCTTTGAGTGCAGGAGTAAGGTTAAACATATACGCATGTAGTATTGAATAATTATATTTGTTTGTACTTCTAACGAGGCAACCGCGCAAAATATGTTTTGAGCATCCGTTTTGGGCATCAGTTATTTCTTCCCTATACGATTTGCAAGGATTCCAGTCTGGGTTTAATGAATGAATGAACGAACGCTGCAATGTTGTAACAAAATTTTGCTTTCTTGTATAGTTTTGGGAAGTTATTTCAGACGAACATGGGATAGATCCTACAGGATGCTACAATGGAGATTCAGATTTACAACTCGAAAGAATAAATGTATATTACAACGAAGCAACGGGTACGGTTTCCAATTCGTAAAAGCTTGGAAAAAAAACGCTCACAATTTTCATCTTCTATATTAACCGTCTGACAGTCCATTTTTCAACTCTATTTCAGGCGGAAAATATGTTCCAAGAGCAATTTTGGTGGATTTGGAACCGGGAACAATGGATTCCGTCCGCTCCGGACCATTTGGACAGATTTTCAGACCAGATAATTTTGTATTTGGTAAACAGTTTAATCAACTGTTTATTTCATGATATTGACTTCATTATATCGTGCAGGGCACTCCATGCTTTCTTTGCTATACATAAAATATTTGTAACCAACTTTTTCTTTCAATTTTCAGGGCAAAGTGGGGCCGGAAACAATTGGGCTAAGGGACATTACACAGAAGGAGCTGAACTGATAGACTCTGTTCTCGATGTTGTCCGAAAAGAATCCGAAGGCTGCGATTGCTTGCAAGGCTTTCAACTAACACATTCTCTTGGAGGCGGCACAGGTTCTGGAATGGGCACCTTGCTTATTTCAAAAATCCGTGAAGAATACCCCGACAGAATAATGTGCACGTATAGTGTGGTACCCTCGCCTAAAGTTTCAGACACAGTTGTTGAACCATACAATGCCACCCTCTCAGTACATCAACTTGTAGAAAACACAGATGAAAGCTATTGTATTGACAATGAAGCTTTATATGACATCTGTTTCCGAACCCTGAAATTGACCACACCCACATACGGTGACTTAAATCACCTTGTTTCGGCTACGATGAGCGGTGTGACAACCTGTCTAAGATTCCCTGGTCAGGTAAGCTAGTTCGAAATAAAAATAAAATAAAATATTAGAATATGGAATTTACTTGTGCTGCCGGTGATTAATTTTTAATTTGATTTATTTGCATAATGGATCATATTTTTTATACAGTCAAATGCATGTCAAAACTTGTAGATTCCAGCTGGCATTGAGAAGATAATATTTGTCTTTCTGACAGCACTTTGATTAATCCAAAAATAGACGGCATTTTCTGTGTAAACCGACTGAATTTACGAAGAACTTTCAATTTGCATAATGCTATTGGATTTTCAATTTGCAGAACGGCTCTGGATATTTAAAAGCAGTGTCAAGAATCCAGGCCTAGCCAGGGGGGACAGGGTTACCAGAATACCAATATATACTCCATAACACTGGCTCAAGATACCAGTATACTTCAAATTCCAGATTAGGCCTGTCTGCCAGAGTACTTAATCTTGCATGGGTGAATGTAGGATTTCAACCTTTTTAGCAATAAAATACTGTATATCAAAAGTAAAATGGTCTAAATACCAATATACCTGTAACTCCTGGCCTTGTGACAATTTAATAATGGTGTTTTGGTGACTGTATAGTATGAATGAAAAGTGAATAAATTTATTTTTAATATTAATTGTTTCATTTGATAATTAGTTGAATGCCGATTTAAGAAAATTGGCGGTGAACATGGTACCATTCCCGCGACTTCACTTCTTCATGCCAGGCTTTGCGCCACTCACCAGCCGTGGCTCCCAGCAATATCGTGCACTCACTGTACCAGAACTTACTCAGCAAATGTTCGACGCAAAGAACATGATGGCAGCTTGTGATCCCCGTCATGGTCGATATCTCACTGTAGCTACGATGTTCCGTGGTCGAATGTCCATGAAGGAAGTCGACGAACAAATGTTGAACATCCAGAACAAGAATAGCGCTTACTTTGTGGAATGGATTCCAAACAATGTGAAGACTGCAGTCTGTGATATTCCTCCCAGAGGTCTGAAAATGTCTGGTACCTTCATTGGAAACAGCACTGCCATTCAAGAATTGTTCAAGCGAATCAGTGAGCAATTTACAGCTATGTTCCGTCGCAAAGCTTTCTTGCATTGGTATACTGGAGAGGGCATGGATGAAATGGAATTTACTGAGGTTTGTATTAAAACCATACCTTTATTTCTTGTTCTAAAAGCCGTAACAGTTTAGCTTTCGGAGGGAAGTTTTAAATAGAGTTTTGACATCTTAAACATTTATCTGGAAGTAAAGACTTGCTTCAAGTTTTGTTTGGGAGTAATAAAGGATTAAGAAACTGAAGCTCTTTTCTCAAAATATTTGACATGCAAGGCGGCTATAGTTGCATTTCTGAGCGAGACAGCAAGATGCTCAAATTTCAAACTGCGAGCGAGTCTGCTGCATGAGAGGGCTGTGCAATATGTTGCTCATCATCTAGACTTCATTAATTGTTTATAACTCCTTGTTTCAACAGGCTGAATCAAATATGAACGACTTGGTCTCTGAATATCAACAATATCAAGAAGCGACAGCCGAGGAAGAAGGAGAATTTGAAGAAGAGGAAGAAGATGAAGCTTGATTTTTAAAAAACTGAACTTTTGCTTTATTGTGAAAATAGCCAACTAAGAAAATAGTATTTAATAAATCTATCTATCTATCTAGTAAAATTGAAGTCTTGCATGTGTCTACTCTAGATCATTTTATTTATGCAGTACTAAAGTGCTCTGGAACATAAAGTATTAAATAAACATGGCAAATATATCTCAATATTTCACATGACGTCTCCCCCTGTTGTGTATGTTTTTCATTCAAGTATTTTTTATCTTGTAAGTTGATTTTTCCTCAATAGCTCAATAGGCCTCTTATATTTATTAAACCGTACCAAAATTTTGCGTATCATGGACGAAAGTGAGTTCATATGCATTATTCCACATTCTGAGTGGCGGTCCTTTTCGAGCTTTCCTCTCAAGTACTCCTCCCCCTTTACAACAAAAAAATTACATCTAGTAGCCTGAATTTCAGACGATTAAATACACCCTTTCAGTATAATCACATCACGAATACTTCCTTGGCCTGGGAGCATAGGTGGCAGGGGAGGGGGGAGGGGGCAACACTGTTATTAATGAGTTTGAGATGGATGAATATATTTGCATTTGATCATGACCAAAAGTTAACCTAACCCGAAATGTGTTTTCGTGCGCAACACATAACGATACAACAACCACAGTTTAGGCCCAAAATGAAGCCAACATGTTCGGTCTAACATCATCCGACATTCTTGCATGCAACATTGAGCACCATGTTGGTCTGGGTGTCGGAGGTTGTTCCACGTTCGTAGAAATACAGCATTAAGGCCCATTTCCACTCAAGAAAAATTTCCATGGACAGAAAATTTCCCGAAAATGTCATTGTTGAAAGTTGAAAATTTTGCGACGGAAATTTTGTGTCGGCCAATCACATTTTACAAAATTTTCTTTCTGCAGAATATTTTCCTGAGTGGAAATGGGCCTTAATTCTTTTGCGAGTGCGCAAAAATCTCTGCCACTCAGGCTATACCTTATTATAGGAAATTAACGATGCACTTTATTAACGCGACATAAATTAACGCGACATCAAATTAACGCGGATTCTGATCTCCATGGTTGACAAATTAATTAAATTAACGCGAATCGGAAAATATAGACACAACAACAACAACAACAAAGGTTTAATGTTAAGAGGAGCACTGATGTTTTTAGTTTACGTTAATATGCTGTATTTTGATATTAAAAGAGTTAGTGTTATATAAAACAAATCTAGGTATTTTTAACTAACGATCGGAAAATTACATACTTAAAATTAACGATCACATAAATTAACATTAATTAAATTAACGCGAATTTTTAAAATCCGCGTTAATAAAGTACATCGTTAATTTCCTATAATAAGGTAGTCGTAATGTTCACTGATGTTGCATTAAATTTGATTTGTGATTGGATACAAGTGCTCGCAGAGTCGCAGCACTAGCTCAGTGCTAGTTGGTGTTCACGATGAATGGGGAGGGGGGTGCCCCCCCATGAATTGACTCAATGGAAAATAGCCTTTAGGAACAGCATTGGGATTAGGATTGTATTTAAATTTAGAAATTGACGGGAGATTTACTGAGTAATATGGAAATTCGCTCTTGGAAATTGACGGGAGATTCGGACGACTGCCTCTCAATTTATGCAAGATCACGAGTCAAAACGTCACGTGTCACTGAGATGAACCAACTGGGGCGAAGTCGAGCGAAGTCACACACACACCAAAGTAGCCAAGCAGAGTGGTTTTTGTTGCCTTCCATCAATAGTTAAACCTTTTTAAAATGAGAGAAATCGTTCATCTTCAAGCCGGACAGTGCGGCAACCAAATAGGAGCGAAGGTAAGTTTGCGAATGGCAATGTAACAAATTTTGTACAATTAGAATTTCGAATTCTCAGACATTTCGAAATGTCTTAACAAAATTATTTGCTTTCTTGTAAATATATAGTTTTGGGAGGTTATTTCAGACGAACACGGCGTAGATCCTACAGGATCATATCAAGGCGACTCAGATTTACAACTCGAAAGAATAAATGTATATTACAACGAAGCGTCGGGTGAGTTATCTGCATTTTTGTGTTGAAACACCTTGTCCTTGACAAAAATTTTCCAAATAATTATTCGATATTGCTATTCAAATTTTCTAACCGCCTGTCGATTTTTGCCTATATTTAGGCGGGAAATATGTCCCCAGAGCTTGTTTGGTCGATTTGGAACCGGGAACGATGGATTCGGTCCGCTCCGGACCATTTGGACAAATTTTCAAACCAGATAATTTTGTATTCGGTAAGTGTTTTTACAAGGAGATTTTGAGTTTAAAAACCGACAGCTGTCAGCTGATATTTACATTGCACGTGTTATCTTCGTTTGTTCATGTCTGTATTTTGTGGTTTTAGGGCAAAGTGGGGCTGGAAACAATTGGGCTAAGGGACATTACACAGAAGGAGCTGAATTAATAGACTCTGTTCTTGATGTGGTTCGAAAAGAAGCTGAAGGCTGTGATTGCCTGCAAGGTTTTCAACTAACACATTCTCTTGGAGGTGGTACTGGCTCTGGAATGGGCACCTTGCTTATTTCAAAAATCCGCGAAGAATATCCCGACAGAATAATGTGCACGTATAGTGTTGTACCCTCGCCTAAAGTTTCAGACACAGTTGTTGAACCATACAATGCCACCCTCTCAGTACATCAACTTGTTGAAAACACAGATGAAACCTATTGTATTGATAATGAAGCTTTATATGACATCTGTTTCCGAACCCTGAAATTGACCACGCCCACATATGGTGACTTAAATCATCTTGTTTCGGCTACAATGAGCGGTGTTACAACCTGCCTAAGATTCCCTGGTCAGGTAAGTGTTAACAGGAATGCGTAAACAGAATTTCTTCCATGCAGTAAGCTTGTACATGTTATATGTATAGAACATAAATAATGAAATTGTAACTAAGATAATATATTTAAAGCTGTGATGTTTTCTCAATAGTTGAATGCAGATTTGCGAAAATTGGCTGTCAACATGGTACCTTTCCCTCGTCTTCACTTCTTCATGCCTGGCTTTGCCCCACTCACCAGCCGTGGTTCATCCCAGTACCGTGCACTAACTGTGCCAGAACTCACCCAACAAATGTTCGACGCCAAAAACATGATGGCAGCATGTGATCCCCGTCATGGTCGATATCTGACTGTTGCTGCAATGTTCCGTGGCCGCATGTCCATGAAGGAAGTTGATGAACAAATGTTGAACGTCCAGAACAAGAACAGCTCGTACTTTGTGGAATGGATCCCCAACAATGTGAAGACTGCAGTCTGTGATATCCCACCCAGAGGTTTAAAGATGTCTGGTACCTTCATCGGTAACAGCACCGCCATTCAAGAATTGTTCAAACGAATCAGCGAGCAGTTCACTGCTATGTTCCGTCGCAAAGCTTTCTTGCATTGGTACACTGGAGAAGGCATGGATGAAATGGAGTTCACTGAGGTAAATATGTGTTTAATTTAAAAATCAAATTTTTGAAAAGTACTCTCTTGAGTTCCATTACCTCTACTGGCAGAGTGTTGGGCTGCTATAACAACGAGGTCATGCAAGCCCTGTGGGATTTGATAATTTTCCTTACGTTTACAGTAACAGTCACTAATACAGTCTTGATTTCCTTTTTGTTTTTTTTGTTGCTGCCTGTTTTCACACTGTTGTTTTCCTAGGCTGAATCAAACATGAATGACTTGGTTTCTGAATATCAACAATATCAAGAAGCGACAGCTGAGGAAGAGGGAGAATTTGAAGAGGAGGAAGAAGAAGATGATGAAGCAGCCTAAATTAAAAAAATAGAACTTTTGGTTCAATTTGAAAATGGGCAATAAAGGGAATAATAAATTGAAAAGTTGTAAATATTATTTTTGCACTAGCACAAATGTGCTCAAGTGATATTTATCAACATAGTGAATAAATCTCAAGATTTCTCAAATGTAGCTTACTTTACTGTATTTGTTCAGGAGCTCAGGCCTAAGTTTTCAAACTTCCCAAAACTTCCCAAAACTACACACATAAAAATTTCACATCTTGTAGCAAGTTGATCTGCCAACAAGCCATCAACAAGTTGTCTTTGCACTGCTTGTCCCAAGTTGTCAACAAGTTTTGGAACAAGCTGTTAACTTGTAACAACCTTGTTGATATTATCAGACTTGTTGCAAGGTTGTTCCAACAAGTCTGATACAGTCTTGATATAAGAATATTGTTACAACCTTGTTTCAACAACCTTGTAACATTCTTGTTATATCATGACTGTATCAGACTTGTTAGAACAACTTTGCTACAAGTCTGATAATACCATCAAGCTTGTTACAAGTTGTTAACAGCTTGTTCCAAACTTGTTACAACAAGTGGGAACAAGCAGTCCGAACACAACTTGTTGACAGCTTGTGAACAGATTTGTAACAACTTGTGCGTTTTTACGTGTGTAGTGCTTGGGCCTTAGTTTGCGCCATGTGTGTCATGAACCTGTGTCGCTGGCCCTGGGCTTATGCATTAGTTACTCTTTAGAAACCTGCTTGTGCAATAATTCTAGTGCAGTAGTGCTTGTTATGTCCAAATGCTATTGCATATTTTTTATATAATGTTCAAATGTTTGTCAAAGCATATATGAACAGTAATACAGTATACAACAACAGGCCAAATAATCAAATTATTGTCTCACTAATGATTGCGCAATTTGCAGATGCCTTTTACAATATTGAAAATGTACCGTCATACAAGGTCACGTGTCATTGACCTGTCAATCTTATTTGACCGCGGATGACTTGGCACTGGCAAACTATTGGACGCTGTCCTATTAATATTTATCTAACGATCAATTATTAATATTCAAACAAAGCGAGTTCTCAGCAAACAAACCGTTACATTTGTTGCGAAGGGAGTGGATTTGTTGAGTTCCTAGTTTATTAAACCTTTCAAAATGAGAGAAATCGTTCATCTTCAAGCCGGCCAGTGTGGAAATCAAATTGGAGCAAAGGTAGGCTTCTAATTACAATTGGAACAACTAATTTGTAACACCGATATAACAAAATACGTTCCATATTTTCAGTTCTGGGAAGTGATCTCAGATGAACATGGTGTCGACCCGACTGGCTCGTATCAAGGCGATTCAGACCTTCAATTGGAAAGAATAAACGTTTATTATAACGAAGCAAGCGGTAAGAACTTCTAATGTTCAAAAACGCGAATTTAATGTACAAAATCAATACAAAATTTAAAACAAAAATACACTTGACAACAACGAACGATAAATTTGAAACGTGATAGCATTGTTTGTTACATTTTAGGCGGGAAATATGTTCCTAGAGCGGTTTTGGTCGACTTGGAACCGGGAACGATGGATTCCGTCCGCTCTGGACCATTTGGACAGATATTCAAGCCAGATAATTTTGTATTTGGTAAGGTTTTAAACCTTTTCTTTTTATATGCAAAACTGGTTGATCCGTTGCAATGTTTGCACGTTGTCTCCATGTCAACTTTGTGTTGTGAGCTGTGTTATCTCGTCGTTTCTCAGGAGTATAAAGGGCACTAGGGCAGGTTTTAATTTTTATAGCCCTTCGTATTTTTCTTGTGCCCAATGGCTCTTTCCATCACAAAATAGACAATTTTCCCAATCTTTGCAAGACAGAAAAAACATTTTAGCACAACTTATTAAATTGTTTTGCCCCATAAATCAGCGACTGTCATATCAAACTCAAATGAGAATATCTTTTGGCACATGAAAAGCCTGTTATTTAGAATATATTTTGTGGTTTTAGGCCAGAGTGGGGCAGGCAACAATTGGGCTAAGGGACATTACACAGAAGGAGCTGAACTGATAGACTCTGTTCTCGATGTTGTCCGTAAAGAATCTGAAAGCTGTGATTGCCTGCAAGGTTTTCAACTAACACATTCTCTTGGAGGCGGCACTGGCTCTGGAATGGGCACCCTGCTTATTTCAAAAATCCGCGAAGAATACCCCGACAGAATAATGACCACATTCAGCGTAGTACCCTCACCAAAAGTTTCGGACACAGTTGTTGAACCATACAATGCAACCCTCTCAGTACATCAACTTGTAGAAAACACAGATGAAACCTTCTGTATTGACAATGAAGCTTTATATGACATCTGTTTCCGTACCCTGAAATTGACCACACCCACATACGGTGACTTAAATCACCTTGTTTCGGCGACAATGAGCGGCGTGACAACCTGCCTAAGATTCCCTGGTCAGGTAAGATACTTTTTAGCTTCAAGAAATTTAATTTGGAACTTTTTGTAATATTGGAAAATGAAATTATTATTTGCAAATATGCTGCTACTGCTAGTGATTAATTTTTAATTTGATGTATTTGCATAGGCTTTAGAAAGTTTTTTAAAACCTGTTTGAAACTCATTTAAAAATATGCACAGCCCCACACACCTCCTCTGAAGACCTTTCTAAAAATTGGGAGAGATCAAGGCCTACCATCTATCTTTCCAAGATGGTGGAAGTATGCCATGTCCACACTTATAATAATCTTAAATAACCTATATAGCAGACATTTCCAGTAATAAAATATTTATTTGAAGCAACAAAGGAAACATACTCTTTGTCATGAGAATATCTTGAACTTGAAGAATATTTCTATGATTGTTAAATAATATTTTAAACATTATGTCCCTAAATTCTACACTAAAAAGGGGATTTTAAGTCAAATGCAGTGCTGTTTTGGTAGACAAAGATATAACGAATCATAAATAAAGAAATGTTTGTGTGTATATGTTTAGTTGAATGCTGACTTGAGAAAATTGGCTGTTAACATGGTACCTTTCCCTCGTCTTCACTTCTTCATGCCTGGCTTTGCCCCACTCACCAGCCGTGGTTCATCCCAGTACCGTGCACTAACTGTACCAGAACTTACTCAACAAATGTTTGACGCTAAGAACATGATGGCAGCTTGTGATCCCCGTCATGGCCGATATCTTACCGTTGCTGCAATGTTCCGTGGTCGAATGTCCATGAAGGAAGTCGACGAACAAATGTTGAACGTCCAGAACAAGAATAGCTCCTACTTTGTGGAATGGATCCCCAACAACGTGAAGACTGCTGTCTGTGATATCCCACCCAGAGGTCTGAAAATGTCTGGTACCTTCATTGGAAACAGCACATCCATTCAGGAATTGTTCAAGCGAATCAGTGAGCAGTTCACTGCTATGTTCCGTCGCAAAGCTTTCTTGCATTGGTACACTGGTGAAGGCATGGATGAAATGGAATTCACTGAGGTTTGTTTAAGTTTCTAGTTGCCAAAATAAGTAATTGCTATTTAAAGTGTCAGGAAAAGGTTGTGTTTATTAGCAAATCTCACAAGTGTAGTAGGCAGTTCCTTTTTGGGACCAATTCCACAATCATGATATAAACCAGTAATAAACTTTGGGATACCTTCTCTTGTTTGTATTTCAATTCAGTAGGCTGTATTTCATAAATATAGTAATCGAAAGAATAAATTAAAGAGAAAAAATTTAAATTATTGTTTTGATACTTTCAACATTGCCCAAATATTTTGATAAAACGGCTTTTTGTTTTGAGTTATAAAGAAGTAGTGAAAACCTTTTTTCTCGAAAGAATTTGAGCGGTGGACTAGGAGTGCAAGTCTGCTAGAAGTGCAGTCTTGTCATATGAGACCTTATTAAAATATTCGGTTATTGTTCCAATAGGCTGAATCAAATATGAACGACTTGGTTTCCGAATATCAACAATATCAAGAAGCGACAGCCGAGGAAGAAGGAGAGTTTGAGGAAGAAGACGATATGGAAGAAGAAGCCTAAATGAAAATAATAAATATTTAAGACTTACTAATAATAAATATTTAAGACTTGCCCAACCCCGTCTAAAAAAGCTCGCACAGTCAGTAGTTTACTTTCTGATTGACACGTAAAAACACGCAACTTGTTACCAGCTTGATACAACTTGTCAACAATCTTGTTACTATAGCTTGTTGTGCCAACAACTTGTCAACAAGATGTGAGGTTTTTACGTGTTTATGTTTACTAAACTCGTCTGTGTCGGGACTTATTTTAAAAACACTAAACCACATTAAGCTGCTCAGCACTATTTATTTATTTATAATTATATATCAAATTTAAGAATAGTAATAAAAGTTGAACGGAATTGTTTTCGTGTATCAGCGTGTGTACTCGCATCTTGACAGCGTGGAGCTGGGTGCAACATGATAAACATGGAAAGGGGTTTATTTATTTTGTTCCGAGCTATTTCGTGTTGGAGCCACATACATAACCATTATTGCATCATTTCAACACTAGTAGTACAGGTTATGATTATGCAATCTGCAAAAATATTGGGGGCTGAGCCCTCATGAGCTCCCCCTCTTCAACACCCCTGAGTACAACTACAAAAGCAAAACGTTCACTGCCGGAAGGGACGACCCTCGAATTGCTTGAAAGCACGTGGCACTAATAATATTAAATCATGCTGCTTTTGCTATCGGTTCTGGTTGCAACGACTCGGCGGACTTTAATCTTTATATTGTGCAGTCCCTGATGTGCAGTATTGCCTCACACTCAGCATTATTTTACAGTAATAAGGTATTGAAAGTTAGACAAAAAATAGGAAGTGCGCAAGTATAATCTGTAAAATTGTCAATCTCGGTCCCAGATGGGAGATTGGTACCATAATTGGTCATGCCAGACATCAAATAAACCGTACCGTGCGAGGGACTGAATCACTGAGAATGAAACAGACCGCCATGCATTGCGTTTGAAAATGCGTAGATTAGTTGTTGAATTTATCAAATTTGAGAAGGATCATTGTTCCAGAGTCTTTCATTCTGTGTGCGAGGCCTGGGTTCAAGGGTATTTTCCAACATGGCCGTTCTTGGCTTCGCTTCGGAATTTGAAAATAAAAGTTTTTATGACATTTTAAATCCACCGTCTGCACCATGTATCGATTTTAACAATGAAAATGGTTTCTCTTTTCCTCCTGTAGCAAATGTAAGTATAAATGCGGGGTTTTAGAAGTAGTTTCGTTGGTGAAATTTGAAAACTGCAGTGTCACACTGGTAAAGTCTCTCACTTACATAATGTAACGCATTACTGTACTATTGTAGCTGTAAATTGTTCCTATCAGCCATATGCTTTGTAAAATTTCAATGTTTTTCACCACACATGGCAGACTTTCATGCAATACATGTCAATATTAAGTAAAGTAAAAAACAATGATTTGCAAAAGAGCTGGTCCACGGAAGGTGATTAATAGTATAGTGTCATTTGCGCACATTTGCACCACAGATGTGCGCATTAATGTGGTCAATGGACAGCAGCAAAGTCACATTCTAGTATATTTGAAATGGAAACACTCTATTCGAATTTCAGGTTTGCGCGAGTGGTCCACTATTGGGTCGTTCCAGAAAAGATCCATACCCCCCCTACGGAGGAAATTTTTGCTGTCCGAAGGGGGAGGGAGGAAAAATGTCTTAGGATGTCCGAAGGGGGGGAGAGGAAGAGGAAAAATGTCTTAGGATGTCCGAAGGGGGGGAGAGGAATGTGGA